ATATAAATAACACAAGTGTTACTTTAATGTGTCAATTTAGAATTTAGTACATTTAAAATATATTAAATGTAATATAGCATAACACACAACAGTTAAAATGACCTCTGTAGTAATGTATATAAATAACACAAGTGTTACTTTAATGTGTAAAGTTGCAATTTAGTACATTTAAAATATATTAAATGTAATATAGCATAACACACAACAGTTAAAATGATCAAATACCTCTGTAGTATGTTAGTCAACACATCAAATGAAGTGCACTTCTTTAAAGCATGAAAAAATATTATTAAACATGATGGTTTAAAGTTTTACAAAGTGCACTTTTTAAAAGTGTACAGAAGTGTGTTAAGAAATAAAGTATTACATTAGAAGTACAATTTTTAAAAGATTTAATACAATTTAATACAATTAAGCACATTTCTTTTTCACATGGGAATGTTTTTTATCAGGCAACCTGGTTCATTGCTTGAAATGCAAAGGTTTATTTCTGAAGCAGAAAGTGTTTAGCAAGTATTGACACATCAACATTGGATGTAGAAACAGATTGGCTTATTTATTCAGGTTTCTGGCTTCACTAGGTTGACATTTACCCTTCTTCCAGTGTGTGCAGAAATCTGACTCATATTTTTGCACTGCTTTTGCTTTGAATTTCGTTCTTTTCAGGGGTATCAAATAAGCTTTCCAGTGTGCTCTCTCTATCCGTCCACCTTTTTAACTACTGTCTCCCTCTCTCTCGGTCTCTCTGTAGTTTTCATACGGCTCCAGTTCTCCAGCTTTGTCCAACCGCCAGCGCTTTCCCACTTTCTTCCGTACGCACCCGTCAGCAACTCTGCATAATCCCACACGTGTGCGGCTCTTCCAGAAGTGGGGATGGACAAAGATTGCCACCATCCAACAGACCACTGAAGTTTTTACCTCAGTCAGTCCTACATCCAAAACTTTCTCTCTTATTTATCTTACTCTGTATACTCTAGTCATGCTGTGGTTTTCCTATTGCTACCAGGTTTTCAAGATTTATGTATTTTTTGTGTGTGTGTGTTCTGGTGCCAAAAAAGTTTTTGGTTGATACCTCCCTCCTAGTGAAACCACAAATACAATTGCATCTTACCACTTTAAATAGATACTTTAAGATACTTTGCAGAAACGGCAAAAATCCACATAAATTTACACACAACGCCTATTTGGTGTTTAGTGACTTGACATGCTCAGAAGAAGGAAGTAGAATAGATAGGCCAGTGTTATTACTAAACACCAAAATATTCATTGACCACCCGAAGAACTAATAATGAGTGGAAAATGTAGTAAAATCCATCCAGCTATGTGCTCTTCTTGGCTGTGTGTAGCACCTACTGCTCTGCATATCCTATCATTAAAAAAAGATCTTCACAGTTTTTACGGCACATACAGTACAGGCTTTTCCAAAGCCTTTGCATTTCACATGCAAAGAAGTCATAAACACACAGCAACAAAAAAAACGGCATAACAGTTGTAAAGGTCACTAATAGGATGGAAATGGAAAATGGTCAAAAAAACTAAATTATGACTGCTTGTGCAAAAAAACTTTGATGAACGCTATAAGTGGACCTCAGGGGGAAATTACATGTAAAAAAAAAAAAAAAAATTATACGACCCCTTTAAAGGAAGTAATTTTCCAGAAATGTGGTTTACTGTGTGTCTTAAAACTGTTAGCGAGCTTAGCTGCCCCTTTACTCTAAGGTTAATGCCTCAGAGTGAATGGCAAAGATCGTGGTTGATTATTCTGTTCTTAAGTGATGAAAGACTTTTTAAGTCATTTTTCTTCATGTTGGCTGCTAGGAATATTGACCAAGTCATAAATCTCTCATGCATCGTTTCAATATTGAGCTAGTGTAATTCTGCTAGGCTAATGATCCCCCTCCATCTCTTCACCAGCTAATCTCTTTTTCTCATTTACTTTCATCCCAGTCCTTCTCTCCTGTTCACATCCTCTTTCTTTCCCCATATTCCTCCATTCATTGATGTCGGGTGTCTCGTTGGCACCTTTTCAAAAATATGCTGCCTCATTGCCTGCATAGGTGACTGCCTTCTATGGAACTACTTCATAAATGAGTGATTTGTAGAGCTCTACATAGGCATCATATATAGCACTCCTGAGTGAATATATCAGTCATGTAATGAAATTAATTTTTATATTTTATTGATGGTTATATATTAAATGAGTCATCAATCTTTATCTGTGTTATTTTAGCGTAACTAAGAAATGTTGCTTTGGAAACTGAAATAAGATTAATTTAATGAAAATGTTTTTTTTTTATGCATTTGGTGTTAGTTTCAGTTTTAGTTAACGATAATAATAACCCTGATCTTTATATTATAGTTAATAACTTTTTTTATTTTTAATGATACTTTATGATACTATTATATATTAAATGAATTATGAGTATTTTTTATTATTATTTATATATTATAAAAATGATAATATATATAATAATAATATTATTTTTGGATAATAATTTTGTTTCCGGAGTCCACTTATATCGCCTTAAAATGGTCACTTGGTTTTGGAACGGGGCTCATATCACCATCTTTTTTCCATCTACCTTTCTTTCTGGACTGTTTTCTTTTTTCTATTTCCTTTACTTTGTCATTTTTTTACTTTGGTCTGCGCTTTGACCATTCATCTCATGACCTCCTTTTGTTCTTCTCTTTCATTCGCTCCTTGATCTTTTCATGTGCGCTGTTCCTGTCTGTCCTCCGCTCTCCACAAACATCACTCCTGTCCTGTCACTCCTGCTGTCTCACCGCTCTCTCTTTCTCTCTCCAGACTTTGGATGATCTGGAGGAGCGTGTGAAGGAGGCCGGCATCGAGATAAGCGTTAGACAGAGCTTCCTCACGGATCCCGCAGTGGCTGTCAAAAACCTGAAGGTGCTTTGATGAAAAATTCACCAGCCGCTCACTTCCTCTCTTCAGCCTGTGTTGGGTAGCTAGCAGACAGAGCACATGAAAGTCTTATGTGAAATAAATCAACACTCGGAAGAATCGGTCCCCTCTGTCAGATCAAGTGACGGTTTGGATACTATCTCGGTTGCTACTGACAGTTGTTATTGAATAGTTAGACAGCATTTTTTATTGTAAAATTATATTGCATGTAGATCTCATGAGACTGTCTTTTTAAATGGTTGGCTTACAATATTTTGGCATATGCCTAGTCTTATATAATTCAGCCAATATATAAAATCTTAAATGTTTTTAAAGGTCATGTGCATGATTTTCTTTTCAACGCTACAATACATTTTCCTTTCCCATTTTATTATGCAGAGACAACTGTAAGGAATCCTTGAAAATGTTTAGGAAAGCTTTTTGAAAATGGTCATTATTTTTGCAATTCCGTTTGGTTCCGCTAATGTTGCAGAAATTACACACTTCACCTTTAAAGCATGTCACAAACAGAGTAAATTAAAGCAATAAGTCACAAGAAGTGTTCTTACAAATGGTTAAATCACTGTAACCCACATACTCATGTGGCTTATTGCTTTTATATAGTAATGTTCAATAGGGAGTCATATTTATAATAAATAATTATCAGAATAAAAAAATGATCCTAGCAAGTAATGTAGTTCATTATCTGTAGGCTGTTTGCAATCTGTAGGCTGTTGTAGGCAATACACAGAGCAGCATTTACTGCAGCTGATCAAATCATAATTTATATAATTATAATAAATATTATTTTAATATAATAAATGTTATATAGTAATATTTATATTTAATAATTTTACATATTTAATCTTATCGAAAGCATATAATACATTTTATTTGGAACTATGAGTCTCGTAATTTGTATTAGTGTACAGTTAAAATAAATCAACAAATCGTGGTAAAGTCATTATAAATAATAAATCATTTGTTGTCAGTAGCTGTGTTTCCATTCATGCTGCGAATTTAATCTATGCAAAAATATCAGATTATTGTGCAAACAATGCATGCATAAAGCCTTGCGTCTTCAAGAGAGCAAAATCGTCACTTCCAGGGAAAATGGTGAAAAAAAAAAAAAAAATGGTAATAGATTCTCAAATATCTTTTATGCCGGTCACATCCACATATTTTTATGCTAATTTTGGGATTGTGCATAAAACATTGGATGTAAATCAGGCCTAGTGACACTTTACTACGTCACATTGTGTGATGTTTCTGTGTCTTGTTTTCTTTTCTCTAATACGTCTCCAGCGTCAAGATGCTAGAATCATAGTCGGCCTCTTTTACGAGACTGAAGCCAGAAAGGTGTTTTGTGAGGCAAGTGACAGTTACAATTCTTTTTCCAAGTACATTTGAGCTGTCAATTTATTTATATAAATTCAACTCTATTCAGTTCGATGTTTCTACTCAGCTTGCGTTAACTCTGAGGCTTAACAGAGATTAAAATATTGAATAAGATTATTGCTTTAGCACAAACCTTCAAAACATGGTTTCATCTTTGGCAGGTCTTCAAAGAGAAACTCTATGGTAAGAAGTACGTATGGTTCCTCATCGGCTGGTACGCAGACAACTGGTTTAAGATCAAAGATCCAGCCATCAATTGCACAGTGGAGAACATGACGGAAGCTGTGGAAGGGCACGTCACCACTGAAATCGTAATGCTAAACCCGGAGACCGTCCGCGGTGCTTCCAACCTGGTGAGTGGATCTTAAAGGGGTAGTTCACCCAAAAATGCCGTGTGGAGTATTTTTTATGATGGATTTATGCACTTTATTTTGCTTCAAAATCTTGACCACTATTCATTGCCATTATAAAGCTTGGAAGAGCCAGGACATTCTTTAATATAACTCCGATTGTATTTGTCTGAAAGAAGAAAGTCATATACACCTAGTAATTTTCATTTTTGGGTGAACTATCCCTTTCAGACTAATTCATATTGACAATAGATGATGCTTACGTAAAAACTGTCTATAAAAATTTCAAGATGGGATCATAAATCCTTCAAAAAACCTCCACAGACCTCCCAAGAGTTCCTGGCCCAGCTGATGTCACGTCTCGGGGGGAAGAACCCAGAAGAAACGGGTGGATTTCAGGAAGCTCCGTTGGCGTATGATGCTGTATGGGCTCTTGCACTGGCCCTCAATAAAACGGTGGCCCCCCTGAGGGCCAAAGGCTGGACATTAGAGGACTTCAACTACAACAACAAGGAAATCACTGCTGAGATTTACCGAGCCCTCAACACCAGCTCGTTTGAAGGAGTGTCTGTGAGTTGATGAAACATAGCTGTCAAATAACATTGAGATAAAATACTCCAGTAGATAGTTTCCCAGACTTGTCAGAGAGTCTTAAAATCGCAGAGACATCATCAGTCTCAGATGATCACATTTTTATGATAACAATGAATCTTGAGTTCAAACTCATTATAGGATGATTCAGCCTTTATTTTCCCTTGATTTTAGCCTTTTATATTTTTGTTTTTATGATGAGTCACAAATGGATTTCATAAATGATGATTTTGTATTGATGTAACATCTTCAACTGTTTATATTTATTCATTTGTGTCTCGTAGGGTCATGTCGTGTTTGATGCTCAAGGTTCACGTATGGCTTGGACTCTCATTGAGCAACTGCAAGGTACAAACAAAACCGAAAAAGATAGAAGATGATGATAATAACAGTATTGCACTTAAATGCATTTTAAAGGTTCACATCCTAAATTTTTATGATATTGTATATTCGTCTGTTCTGTTGACTGTTCACTTATGACGTTAATAAAATTTTCTTTGCACCGAATAACCAGTAAACGTATGCATTTTTAGTATTTTTATGTGAAAATGATATGACAGTTTTTCCAAAGATTATGATTGTAACAACCATGACGACATTTCATCCACACAATTCTGCTGTTATAAATAAAGTATTCTTATATTTTATATTCTTATACTTATTCACATATATTTTACATATATATTTTTTTTAAACTTTATTTGGATAATCAGAATAATATGAATCATGAAATAAAAGGCCAACTAAGAGTGCTATTGAATGCATAATTTGAGCTGTTGTGTAAATTACACTGTGAAGGAAAAAAAGACAAAATTCTCCTATGATGTATGGATGTCCACTGTTGGACATTATTACAAATTAAACTAGTGAGAGTGTGAAAAGTGACTATTTTAGAAATAACATTTCTAAAAGTCCACAGGGCCTAAACTGCCTGTAGTTAAAGAAAAGCCCATCTATTTCCTCCTCATTACTTCACTGTGTCTGCGGTCATATTTTAGTGTTAAAGATATCTGAATGTCTCATATTTCCTGTTTAGTTTCAATGAATGGTCTGAACTGGTGAGAGAGACTAATTTTTGTGTTGTGAAAGTTTGTCTACATAGTACATCAATGATTTCCAAAGAGCAAAGTTTTTCTACAATATGTTCCCTTTCAGATTAACTTTGATCAATGCAGTTGGGCTTTTTTTTTTTTTTCTTCAACCCATTGATGCAGCTATAAGTCGACTACTTTTTCAGATTTGTCGAGTCAGGCCTCTTTTGAAGCTTTTATTGCAGTGCTTAGTGCAAGCAAGTTTTCTTAATGTGACCTTTAGTTGACACACTGTTAATTAGATGCTATATTTATACAAGAAAACTTTTAATACAAGCTTTTAAAATATCATTACATTGTTCATTTTGTCTATAGTACAAAATTAATTCATGGGCAGATGAGGGTCTCTTTGTTTCGGGTTGAGGCTGAAGAAGATGTCAGCATTAGAAGTGGTTTCATATACACTTTTCTTTCAGGCTTTTCTCATCTTTCATTTAACTTCTTGCTTTTTTCCCTCAGGTGGGAGCTACAAGAAGATTGGATACTATGACAGCACAAAAGGCAACCTGTCCTGGTATGGAAATGACAAATGGATTGGTAAGAGAAACCAGCCTTTTTTCTGCTCGTCGAGACAGCTCTGTCCATTCCACTCCCATCACCTTTCACAGCCGCACTCGGCCCGTCGAGATTGAGGCTTACCAGTATTGATTTCTGTTAGCTCAACAAAGCTCTGTCGCGCTCTTTAATACATCGCTAACAATTAGCTGTCCTTCCTGCTAGAGGAGGCCATACAGGCCCAGGGGAGTGGAGAAGTGGAGCTGCGGTGCTGTTCACGGCTCACTCTGACCTTTGTGCAGCTCTGTGAATTTTCTCGATTGACAAACTGGTATTGATGAAAGAGATGTAAGGCGCAGAGCGGATCAAATGAAAATGTGTGATGATGCTCGCCGATAAATGGGAAAGTACAACTTTAATCTTCTTGTGGAATGGTAAACCAAGGTTTTGTTCAGACAGGCATAAAAAATCCAATTTTTTGACGTCTTCGACTCCGACCCATTAAGCTGTTTGCAGTCTGGAACAAAGGGTCAAGGTGTGACCCTTATATATATATATATATATTTACACACACACACATACATATATACATAGCTATATTCTGTCAAAATATACATATTTTTGCAAACAACATGTTTGTGATGATTTCTTTATGATTATGATACCATTTTAAAGACGTCTCTTATGCTTACCAAGACATTTGCCAAGACTTACCAATACTTATCAAAACATGTTCAAAACAACATTTATTTGACATAGAATTTTTGATAGAATTTAATTTTCATAGAATTTAATGCATCTTTGCTGAATAAAAGTAATACATCTTAAATTTTTGTTAATGTTAACGGAAATAAAATAAAATATTTAAAAACTTAAGCAATTTTATTTCAGCTAGTTGCCATAGCAACATTTTTCATTTTAATTATACTCTTGATAACTAAAACTGAAATAAAAAAACAAACAACAAAATTACTAAAACTTTAAATTTAAATGAAACAAAAATAAGAACTAATTCCAAATATTAAAAATAAACTGTCGTAGTATTTACCAGTCTAGTGAAATTGACTTGTATTTTCCCCTTTCTGTTGGTTTTCATGTCACAGCTCAGACTAATATCTGTGAAAACAACAACAACAATTGAAATAAAACGGGATTTTAAGTCTGAATGATCAGATTAGATGAAATGCTTTTTTCCTGTCATTTGGGATGCTGTGTGACTGCAACGTCACACAAAGTGCAGTTTCTGTGAAAGAAGTCACTTATTTACTAGGGCTGGGTAAAAAATATCGATATCTCGATATTAATCGATTCTGATTTTTACGGAACGATATTGATTCTTAAATCCCAAGAATCGATTAGTCTAGCCTGTTTTCAGTTAATGGATGGAACATTGAAGGGCACTACCCATCCAATATATCGCAATAAGCATTGTGCTTTGGTACTTTTAATATGAAACAAAGTCTCAGATTTCAAATTCTGTCCATTGTATTGCAGTATTCAAACAATAAATGCCGTTTTTGTGCTGTTTAATGTGGAGTGACAGATCGCTGTAGCGCCTCGATCATCAGACGCGGCAGCGCGAGGCACACGTGAACTGATCATCTCCTCCATATTAATACCAGTTTCAGCACAAAATAAACATGACTAAACATCCGAAGGTAAGTTCAAAGAAAGAGTACAACTTTACAATCCGTATCCTGTCTCATGTAATCGCTTAATCAGTGTTTTAGCGAGCAAAGACGTCAATATAACAGCTTGTAAACAATGTCACATAACGTCACATTTACCTCAGAAAAACATATTCGGCGAGCATAAACTCATTAATCAGATAGAAAAATAAACTGTAGAGAGGGGCATTTTGTTAAATATATGCACCATATAACATATTCATTATAAATTTGACTGTTCTTCAATGTTTAATTTATGTTTGAATAAATCCATCAAGTTTTTATGATGGCCACTATTATGTTTATATTTAAAAAAACCGAATTGAAGTAGAAATATTATTATGTAATTGTAACGTTATTATTTTAAAAACTTCATTAAGTGTAATTTTAACAAATTAGTCAATTTTAACCTTCAGTATTATAGTAATGTAGTACCAACTGACTCTCGTGTATATTTTACAGCATTAGTTGAGAGATTTTTTTTCCTAGAGTAAATTTGGCATGTACTGTACCTGATATATATATCCAAATTCCAAAATAATCAATATTGAATCAAATCGAATCGAATTGGTAATCTAATCTAATCGCAAGCTTGTGAATGAGAATCGAATCAAATCGTGAAATTTGTGTCAAAACCCAGCCCTATTATTTACACTCACATCGATTGCATTTAGAGTGTACGCAAACGGGTGAGTGGTTTCACACTCAGCATATGCATGAATGTGTAAATAGTACAGAAATGCATCTGACTCTTATATTGTGTCATGTGCCTCAAGAATTCATTTCCAGTTTTCCATCCTCTTTGGCCAGTCAGTCCTAAAAATGCAGTGTGAAGAAAACAAAAGAAACACTTTACTTTTAAAAGTGTCCTGTCGGGTGTAATGTCACCCTTAGAATAGCTTTGATAAAACATTCACAGTTGTCGCTCAACTTGCTCCTTTTTCGGCATGGATGCTGGGAGACTATTCTAGAATCATTTACAAAAGCACCAATCGGTGCCTTCCTTATTACCCCACAAATTGGTTTTCTGCCAAGAGATGGGAATTGAATTGCCATCACCAAAATCCTGTATTTTCTCACCCAAAAGATACAGAGGCGATTATTTTCTGGATTTGCCCGGTCCTCTTCTGTGAGTCATTCTTGATTTAGGCTCTAATCAGACCTTCATGCTGTGATCCCATTGAGTGGATTCCACCAGCGTGACGGTGACAAAGCAGCGCTGCCCTACATTAGACGAGTAATGACCTCACACTTCACTAGAGCTTGTTTTTCAAATGGCTACAAGGTGAAGATCAATGCTGCAGGCAGAAGTTTTGGGAAAAAGTGAAAGATTATTATAGATGTCAATGTCAGTTTAGTGACTGAACAGTGCAATTTACTGTATTTGACAGGGTGATTACAGTGTTTCAAAAGTGTGTGAAATGCATTCAGATTTGCATGTTTCTGAAGGTTTTGAATATTATAAAAAGCACACAAGGTATGGTCCTATGAAGTCACAGAGTGTGTTTAGATGCTTCTGCTTTAGATAGATCTCTCTTTTTCTGTGACAATGTCTATTTTCGTTGAAGCCATCTATATATATATATATATATATATATATATATATATATATATAT